GCTGCACAAGCGATTAGGTTCTCCGGAGGGGTATGGTCTTGCTGGAGTTGCCCTTACCAGCTGTCTGGTGGGGTGACTGGCACAAGTTGGGTGGTCAAGAACGGGATATGTGTAAGGAATTTCTGAAAAGGGACAAAATGTGGGTGAAAGATTAGGCGCACGACAATAGGTATACGATCCTGTATCGATTCACTGTGGAATGCGAAAAAAAAAAACATTTTTCTAGCGTGTGTTTGGTCGGTCGATGCAAAGACTCAGAGGAACATAGAATATGAGTGATGACGTTTAATCTGAAAAGGGAAAAAACGACATACGTACCGCTATATCTAGATCAATAAAAAGTTTGCTTTCCCCAGTTCCATGTGCCCTGCGTCCTGACACGCGTCAAAGCTGCTGTGACGTCGCTCAAACCTGTTTCCCTGCTCTGTCAGTCTCCGAGTGTCTCCCATTCGCACACAATAGGCCGGCCTTGACGGCCTGACCCGACCGACACGTCAGATCAGCCCCGGCCGTCCCCAGTATGGTGACAGGCGAAGCACGGGGGAAACGGGGTGGCATCTCCCCTGTTACCAAGCAGGCTCACAGGGAAATTTGGGAAACTTGCGGCACTCTTTGATTTTTTTATGGGTGTGTTGGAAAAATTAAAGCCTCTTTTATTGTGATATAGCATGAAACGATAACGGAGGCACGGCTGTATTGCTGCAGCGTCATCATGGGTCCAGGATCTCTCTAATTTTGATGTTTTTTATGTCTCCAGATGGCATCTATTTGTTTCAGTATATTGTTTTTTTGCTCGAAACCATTTTCTTAACAGGTTTGAACTTTGAATAACTTGACTTGGTAGGCATCACCTACAAGGCAAAAAAGCAAGGCATTTAGCAGCGAGAGCACGTGTTGAAAACATGCCGTGCATCGTTTGTCGATGTTACCGATAAACTTATCAGCATGTTCATCTCATTATGGTAATTGGTGACCAGTTAGGCCAATCACCATTATGTATTCAGGGCTACCGGAGTTGGCTGGTGCAACCTCCACCAATGCTCATTGGGCATCTGAAGGGCGGCAGGTCTACAAATTACCCTATCGTGATTTCTCCTCACTCTGACGTTAATTATCGCGCGTTGGCCGTCGCCGCGGGCCTAACAGCCCTCGCAGATCAGAGGCGTGCTTGTTCTTCAAAGGCGGCGCGGAAGGCGGCGGTTCAACTGACTGTATATTGGCTGTATTGACGATAGGCGATACAGTTAGGTGATTCGATGGACTGTATATTGGCATATTGGTGATCGGCGCAGTGCCGCGGGCATTGTGGTGGTGCTTACAAGCGGTCTGGAGGCATTAACTGAAACACTAGATGCGCTAATTGCATGGCTTTGCGCAGAATTAGAAATGTGTGTTTACAATGTCTAATGTCCAGGCCTGATATGTAGGGAAAGATAGATGCATAGTGCGCACATCATCATCTCAATATTTATGCAATCGTGATAGGTATTTATTGTTGTTAGTCAACAAGAGTCAATCGTTCTATCGAACCTCTATCTGACAACCTCACGTCAGTAGATAACAGCTATACCAATTGTCGACATCACGAAACAGTCTATGTTTATAGCATTACATACAGTACAGACTACAGACAGACCACGATCTACCGTGTAACTGCTTATCTAAACGAGACCCACGGGGACCAATGACCCTCTAGCATCTCCGTTCACTAATTTATGAGAATATAGTCCACTGTGCACTCGACATCGTTTGGCACGGCAGCAGACTGGCTCACCTAACCTTCACGATGAACATCCTGCTGCTGCAGATATTGCTGTCGATGCTGGACGATCTGCTGCCTCTCTCTCTCTCTCTCTCTCTCTCTCTCTCTCTCTCTCTCTCTCTCTCTCTCTCTCTCTCTCTCTCTCTCTCTCTCTCTCTCTCTCTCTCTCTCTCTCTCTCTCTCTCTCTCTCTCTCTCTCTCTCTCTCTCTCTCTCTCTCTCTCTCTCTCTCTCTCTCTCTCTCTCTCTCTCTCTCTGCAATCAATCGATCTTCATAGGTGGTCCGGCTGAGCAATAAAGGAGCTAAGGGACAGGGGCACTCGAAACGGTGATACATCACGGCGTATCTGTGATTTCCTCTGGCATGGAACGTAGGTCACCGCCCACCGGATATATCAGCAGCTGTGACCGCTATTTACCACAGACATTCTAAAGGTTAAAGGTGACGAAATGCTGCCGATATAAGCCGTTTTCACGACGGGCTATCCGGCGAATGCACCTACTTTGACCAAATCTGCACCTAATATCTTTTACAGCAAATATCTTTAGTTTAAGAATTGATTTCAGTGTTTTAGTCGATGATACTCTCTGATAATATGACAAAGGAGGCATATAAGCAATTAGTGCAACCCTAGCTGATAGCTTCTAAGAGATACACTGAACCTAATTTGAGCAAATCTGCACCTAATCTGCACCAAATGTGCACCAAATGTGTACCAGATGGCCGTCGTGAAAACGGCTTTTATTGACAAATGCTGACGAGTGGTGTCATGGCTGGCACGGCGGCACGTCACACTCTGCAGTGCTTTGCATTGTCATTTATTGTTCGGTAATTAACGTTCATGTTATTTTACCTACTTGAAAACATCTCGAAGGAAATAAAACTCACGCTATACTCGTAGGTGCCCCTTGAATGGATAAAACGTACCGAGCGATATAATAATTCTGCGGATATTGCATTTGAAAGATCAAATCTGGATAAAATATCTGGATAAAACGTATTATCGATTTAATAAACCTACGGTTATTGCATTTGGTCCTTGCGTTCGATTAAATTTGCTGCCTGTCTCTCAACGATTCTGCGTGATGAGGATCGGAGCTCGAAGAGTTTGAGCCGACTTGATCTCATCATCTGCCCAACTTCACTCGCCACTCGCTAGCTGTCATTTTACTTCCAGCTTGAAATCGGTTGTATCGATGACTACAACTTTAGTCAGTAGCGCGCTCCTGCTTCTATCGAGACATAGGTGCGCAGTAATGCAGCGCTCCCAGCTCGAGCTAGTGAAGCACTACACATAACACAGTACACCACAGCAGTCTGCAGTTGGTGCTTATAGCATATGTAGATTGATAAACGCTTTGGGAAAAAAATGAATAACTCAATGCCGATAAGAAACCGTCAACATAGACGTGGAATTGGTGTTGACGGGAACGAGGAGTTTCCATTTAATTTGTGTATCACTAATGCTCATTGGTCGAGACTCCAAGTCACGTTCAGCGTATAGATATAATACGCTGAGATGTGAGTTTTCTCGGTAGGTATACATCACGTTCCTCTTGTGCATTCCGGGACTATGAATTATTTTCGCCTCTCTCCTGCACGTCCCTGAGAATGACGGGATGGGCTCCACTTGTTTCTGCCTCGACTAACGAAACAGGTGTTCATGACAGAACGAGATGGCGATACACCGCGCCCTGCTGAACACAGTCTAAAGGTCAGGTCACTACGCTGCGGGACGGACCAAGATGGACGCGCTTTCATCTGGAGTGCCCACTGGAAATGTCACTTTTAAGATCTAGAAATAAATTTGAAGATTATAGGCGGAAAACAATTGACTATCTGCATTGGCGAACGCTCTCAGCTTCGGGATACGAAATCGTGTGAAAGTCTTAGACTTAGACGTAAGTCTAATAATCCATTTGACCGTTTCAACTAACGATTTCCTATTTAGGTATTTGGAATTATTATGACGGTAGATGTTACCGTTCAACACCTCCCATTAGACATGGCTAGACTGGTGACACTGGGCGGGCAGGGTGGCCGGTGGTGTGGCGTGCTTGTGGACTGCGAGGCTGCAGGACCCGTCGAGACAACTGCGTTCCAAGGCCAATGTGAATGATGTCAGTTGTGCCTAATATCGCTTTGTTGGCGTCAAAAGGAATGTTTAAAACGGAACGCTAAACAGCAGTGGTACTGGCCTCTACGGGACAACGACCAGCTGGATGATGAACAGAATGATCCCACACGTGTGCTCTCAGCTCTGTCAGGTGTGTCAAAATAAAATATTTGAGAAAAGTAGGTATCTAACGCTAGTCGGTTGCATTCCACAATCTAAAGCGTAAACAAATTAAACTCGAAAGTTCATAACACTCGTGTCTGATTGCACTGATCTTTTGCGAATCCGATCTTTTGTCCATACGATCATTATGTCGTACGATCTTTATCCATTACGATCTTTTGGCATACGATCATTTTCCTTGACGATCTTTAGCGAATACGATCTTTTGTCCATACGAACATTATGTCGTACGATCTTTATCCATTACGATCTTTTGCATAGGATCAACTTCCTGTTTTTGTTTTGTTGGGTTAGGCCCTTTCAGTCCAATTAGACCATTTCAGAGCCGGGAGGATGATAGGATATAGGGGGAGACATTGGTCTGGGCAGGCACCCTAGTGAGTCGCCGGGGCTGAGCCCGTCCAGAGGACAGGCCACCCAGGTCCCAGCCCCAATTTTTTGTTTGTTTTGTTGGGTTAGGCCCTTTCGGTCCAATTAGACCATTTCAGAGCCGGGAGGATGATAGGATATAGGGGGAGACATTGGTCTGGGCAGGCACCCTAGTGAGTCGCCGGGGCTGAGCCCGTCCAGAGGACAGGCCACCCAGCCCCAAGGCACTCACTGCACCCGGCTACGGGGTGCGCTCCCTCGGGAGCAGCGGTGCCGCTCCAAGGGAGCAGCCCGTATGAGATAAAGTTGCCTGTCCAGCCCGGAGGGGGTTGCGGCGTGGAGGAGAAGTATTTCAGTATCCTGAGGATAGAAGCATGGAACGGTGATCAACTTCCTACGATCTTCTGCCTTACGATCTTCTGCTTTACGATCTTTTGTCCGGGTACCGATTGCACTACAGCTTGTGACTTCGACCGCTGCGTCATCTATACCAATCGTAACGCTGATCATTGTTTGATGACGACATCTATACAAGCCTCCAAACTACTGATAACTGAAGCTTGTAATCCTACCGCTAGAGCGCCGGCCACCGACAGCATTGACCGTCGCCGGCTGTGTTGTGATTCGCTATCGCTGTGGTAGGAACCGGCGCGCGCCGGTGGCTGTCGCGTGGAGTCGAGGGCGGATAGTCGGCGTCGTCGGCGTTTGGGAGCTGCGTGTCGCGTGTGGAGTCAGCTGGAGGTCACAGCGGTCATCGGTGCGCCTGCGCGTATTGTGGTCAGTGAGTCTCCATCGTCCAGTGAGGTCCAGTTTCGCTCGGGAGGCCCTCGAGGGTGGAGTGTTGACCTTCAGTGACACTGGTTGTGTATTTGACGTGGGTGAATATCGACTTCCATCGATTTCAGTGTTGATTTCTTCCAATTGATTTCAATGTGTAGAGAATTATTGGTAAAAGTATACATTGAGTCCGAGTGACTGTTAAAAGATAAAGTTTTCATATTCTTACATTATTTGACATCCTGAATCCAAAAATGATAATACTAATACCATTAGTCTATCGGTGTTTGCTCTTACCAAACCGGAGTTCTTATTTTGATTGTGTGTTCATGTTGTCGATTCGTTGGGCATTATTTCAGTGATTCCCACGTCACCTACCTACACCATACATGTTGACTGTTGCCGATTTTTTTTGTAACATGCTTGTTTCATCTTTCTCAGGTGAAGATGGCTAAGACTGCTGCTTTGGAAGCCAAAATTCAGGAGTGGTTGTCATGGGACAAGGTAAAGTATAAAACGAATTGTTAACAAACAATTAAAATAATATTCTTGAGTGCAGAAAGAGTGCAGTCAGTTTGGCATGGTAGCTTGATAAATTAAATGCCGTATACTATTCAGATTCATACATTTGCCACACCTACTGCCTGTAATTCCATGACCTGTCAATTGTCACCCCTGACCTGACCTGCCCTGCCCTCCCCCTCCCCCTCCCGCAGAACGACGCCACCCGCTCGGAGATCGCCTCGCTGCAGGAGGCCGGCGACTGGGGGCGCCTCTCCTCACTCCTCGAGAAGCGGATGGCGTTCGGAACGGCCGGACTGCGGGGGCGCATGGGCGCCGGCTACGCCTGTATGAACGACCTGGTGATCGTACAGACCACCCAGGGGCTGGCCGACTACCTGCTGAAGACGGTGCCCAACGCGGCACAGCGAGGGGTCGTGGTCGGATATGACGGACGATATCACAGTCGGAGGTAGGTGCGGCTGGGAAGGGGGGGGGGGGGACAGTTAAATCGCCGGGTATGGCAGAGGGGTAGGGCCGGGTAGATCAGTTGGGGACGGGGAGGGAGGTCAATGTGCGGGTAACCGGACAAAAAGTCAAAAGGAATAAAGTCAAAAGACAAATAGTCAAAAGACAAAAAGTCAAATGCAAAAAGTCAAACGGGATAAAAGTCAAAAAGATAAAAGTCAAAACGGATAAAAGTCAAAAGACAAAAAGTCTAAAGCAAAAAGTCAAAATGTGCAAAAGTCAAAAACGCAAAAAGTCAAATGACAAAAAGTCAAAAATGCAAAAAGTCAAAAGGATAAAAGTCAAAACGGAAAAAAGTCAAAAGACAAAAAGTCAAAACGAGTAAAAGTCAAAAGACAACAAAGTCAAAACGGAATAAAGTCAAAAGACAAAAAGTCAAAGGAAAAAAGTCAAAACGGGTAAAAGTCAAAAGACAAAAAGTCAAAAAATGAAAAAAGTATAAAATAGAAAAGTGGAAGTCAAAGTCTGAAATAAAAAGTCAAAAGGATAAAAGTCGAAGCATCGATCTTTTCATCTTTTGAAAAATATTATACAGCGCAACGTACCCTACCCACTGAAGTTGTAAGGAACATGTGAGTACGCGAGGGATTCTGACAGGTACCGGGGTCCGCAGCAGCGGGGCAGGGACGCTGGCTGCGGTGGTGGGGCCCACGCTCACATAATACGCGTTGAGCGCTTCCGGCGTGCACGCTGGCGCAGCAGCAGTGGCACTCTTCCCCGCCCCGATCACCGGCCGCAGCACTGTCCACATCCTCGCCGGTCCTGCCTCACGCAGCTGGTCAGCATAGTATGCCGCGTGGTCACGTCTGATGGCCGCTCGACACTGCCGGTTCACCACCGTATACTCGGCGCGCGGGCCGAGCAGTGCGCGCCGCCGCGCCAGCAGCGCTCGCGTGGCGTCCGTGGTGCGCGGAGCACCGGGCGGCGGCAGCCCCTCCCCCATGGGAGAGGGTGAAAAGCAGTGCCTCCTCTAAGCAGTTTTGACTGGGGGGCCCGATCACGGGCAATGACTAAGGTAACCCCTACCAAAAACGTCTAAGACTAAAAAATGACTAAGGTACCCCTCAGTGACCAGTTTGGAGGATGACTGCGGGGGCTGCAGCTCCCGCAGTTAACATGTTAGAGGAGGCATGGGTGTCGTTTTGTATAGGCATGGTAGGGCCCGAGCCCTACCAATAATTTTGGAAATTTAACATTATGCCTATGGCGTTGCGTGGAAAGAATCGCTTTGAATTGGCAAAAATTTACATTAGAGCCCTACCAATAATTTTCGGAAAGTGTCGCCCCTGAGAGGAGGCCCTGGTGAAAAGCCAAAACCTCAAAATAAAAAAATACCATGTGATTAACGCTTAAATGACGTCAATGGACTTAAAGTAAAAAATACAAAAGACGAGATAATTTCAAAATTTTGAGTTGCAATTTTTTCCCCTCAACTTTCAACCTACCCCATCAACTTTTCAAACGTTCCCGGGTCACCACTGCCCCATCGTGCAATTCCAGTGCTATGGCAAAGTTTTATCTGAAAGTTTAAACGTGCCCGATAGACTGGACGCGGTCCCCTCCGTCCACTCACGCTCTCTGGTCTCTGTACGGTCATCGCTGACTGGTCCAGCATCCAACGCGCTGGGTTTATAGAAATTTGGTTAAAAGAAATGAACATATTTTAATGAACGAATCCATTAAGTAATAAAATGAAAATGATTCACAGGTTATTATTACATGTGGGAGCACTGGCGCTGGAATTTTCTCAATGTTGGAGGGGCTCGAGGCAGTTTGAACTCATTTCTTTCCATGCAACGCCATAGGGTTAATTACGAGCGAGCGAGTGCAGCGAACGAGCGAGTTCTTTTGTGTTTAAAGGGACCCTCCCACCTTCAAAGAAGTTAATGAATTGGCACGAAAGTGATATCGCTCGGTTCAGAAAGAGCGAAAACGAATATCTACCAAATTTCATCGAAAAATATTCACCGGTTTTCAAGATATTAGACTTTTACTTTTGTTTACTTTTTGGGATCTCCGCTGTTCCTAGCGACTTTATTTGAAAGTGCGGCATTTGTTGCGCGCAAAGCAGCATATACCACCGCGTGCTACCAAACGTTTCAGTAAAAGATTTAAAAATCGTTAGATCTCCGCTGACGTCACAAATTCTAAGGGGCATACCAATGCACTAGCCCCTTAGAATCCGAAAACTGCAAGTTTGAAATTCCATATCTCCGAATTAAAGCATTTGTCGATGTTGTGAGTGCCCAAACCGGTATTTGCATGCCATGGCCACCAATTTGGCTATCTCAACTCAAAACTAATGTTAAGGTGGGAGTGTCCCTTTAAGGCAAAAATCTGAGTATGCGCGACCCGGCCCGACCCGACCCGACCCGACACGACCCCATCACGCTCTTCAAACCCTTATAACTCAAGAACCGCATGCCGCATCGACAAGCGGTCTTCTTTGCTGAATACCACTTGGATGTAAAAGTTGTATGGCATGGACACCATGTTGTCTGAGTGTCGATCTTGGCACGTGGCGCGTGCTTAAACTTGGGGTACTTTGCACACACCCGAAAACTATTATCCTCAATAACCGCACAACGGCTGGACCGATTATTTGACTTTTTCATTTGATTTTTATCATTTTGACTATTTTGCCGTTTTTTCACTTTTTGTCTTTTTGACTTTTTGCATTTTTGACTTTTGGACGTTTTGACTTTTTGCCATTTGACTTTTTGACTTTTCGCGTTTTTTGACTTTTTGCCATTTGACTTTTTGCTTTTGACTTTTTGCGTTTTTGACTTTTCGCCATTTTGACTTTTTGCCATTTGACTTTTTTGCTTTTGACTTTTTTCGTTTTTGACTTTTCGCCATTTTGACTTTTTGCCATTTGACTTTTTGCTTTTAACTTTTTGCGTTTTTGACTTTTTGCCATTTTGACTTTTCGCCATTTGACTTTTTGCTTTTGACTTTTTGCGTTTTTGCCTTTTCGCCATTTTGACTTTTTGCCATTTGACTTTTTGCATTTTTGACTTTTGGACGTTTTGACTTTTTGCCATTTGACTTTTTGTCTTTTGACTTTTATCCGTTTTGACTTTTATCCATTTGACTTTTTTCCATTTGACTTTTATCCATTTTGACTTTTTGCATTTGACTTTTGTCTTTTGACATTTTGTCTTTTGACTTTTTGTCCTGGAATCCAATGTGCGTGGGGACGGCGGAGCGGGCGGGAAGGGGAGGGAGGGGCTGATGTGATGGGTAGCTTACAAAGTGAGCGTAAACGTCACAGGATCAGATGACATGACGTGTTGTGATAGTTTTATTCAGTTCAAGGGCAGTTTTAAGAGTCATGCGCTCGTGCTTGCGAAAACTTCTCGTTCTAGTGCTTTTTTAGAAGATTGCGAGGACGAGATAGTTCGAGGTGCGTTTACGGACGTAGTGGGGACGTAGTTTGCGGTCATTGCGCAACTGAAGTGGCTTGATAGCGATTCTGCTATCCAAGTGTTTAGGATAATAGGATAGGTGAATTGTCCATCTGATGAATTCTTCGTTGCGGTCGGTTCCGCCACACATTTACGCAATCTTTGCTCTGAGATAGAAGAGACGTGTAAAGATCATACGAAAGAACATTCATTCTCTCGAGTTGAATGTTGGTGGTTGACCCTAAAATGTTCAGGAGAGGTTGATTGCGCAGGACTTCTTGGGGACCAACGAGGGATATGTTCAAGTATTAACGGTTTGTTTAGATCAGATCGGGCGTCTGGGGGATATTGTATGTAAGCATATACAGAGGAATTGTAAACAAATCGACGTGGGGGTCATCACTGACTTCAAACGGTCTCCAGCTCGGGATATCGCGGACAGGCATCTGATTTGCCAGGCTGTAGCACCAGGATGGGAAATACTTTTCGCGATACCATTCATATGTCGTACTCGTATACCTGGTATGGGACGGTTTCGTTAAAGTGATTCTGCAGTTGTGTTCTAAGCTACCGTCAGTTTGACACGACGCCATCATATGCTCTAAACGGCATGTCGCTAGGATATGCCATAGCTACCTATCGTATGATAACCTTCACTCTTCGGGGCTATGCTTGTCAGTTACATGCACCATAATTACTCTCAAGCCCCAGCGGTTTCAATACGCTCCGATCGGAGCTGCTTCCACCGGTCACACTCGATTGCTGCTATCGAGCGGAAGTCAGACTCGTTGCGTCAGGCTCGGTTGCGTCAGCGTCTTTTGGCGCTTGGTCAGTTCACGAGTCAGAGCTCAAAGGGGCACGGGGATACTGATCCGATTCAGCGGATATGATTCTGCGGTGTAACTGTCCATGGAATGTGACATTCCCAGTCCCGCTACCTTCGTGGAAGTGTGAGGTCATCGGTGAACTGGCTGGTGAAATGTGAGGCACTGTGCTGGGAAACACGAAGTAGATAGTGGTGCATATCATATTAGTAAGTTAAGCATTTAGATCAATAACAAGAGTGATTGAAGTAAACTTCCCATGTTTTAATAAGCTTCGAAGACGTTTGCGCCCGCTGATGCCTATCTACTACTACTCGCACTACAACTACTCGCACTCTTCGTACATTTTAGATTTTAGAAGCGAATTACGCATGCTGTTGGTAGAGGTCGTGTTTTCTTATCTACCGACTTATCGATACTGAGTGCGTCGCTTCCGTTCGGCTTCTTTTCAGCTCCGGAACCACCGTTCGATTACTATCCACTTTGAAATTGGATATCGCCAGTCCTCTAATTCTCTAAAAACCAGAGATGGCTGGCTATAACATCTGGCTTATAACATCCGAACATTCTAGATTAGACCCGACTTTTCTGGACCTCCGCTACTGCGACCATTTTGGTCGTTATGCTGCCTTATAACAGTCGTTTCTGCGTCATTGGGGCATGCGGGTCACAAAGCATATGAATAGTCAATGACTGTTGCTATGCTAGAGAAGAGCACCCCTCATAGCAGCGAATGACGTTTACGTTAGCATGTTTTGAGTGAAAGGCGGGCTGAAAGACGAATGTTTATTTTATGATTATCTTTCGGCTTTCTATCATTGCTAGTCATGCTGGTTCAATTTCACTCTCTGATGACATATTTAGAGACCGTTCTCTATGCATTGGCGACCCCGTCAGGATTCCTCCCCCCCCCCCGTGTCTCTATGTGACCCAATGCCAGTGTCGATGTCCAGACGTCTGGACCATGGTAACCAGTTCGTCCTCCTCTCGCCTGACATTGACCACCCCCTCTGTCTCCTCCCATCTCTGCCCCTGACCGGCGAATGTCTGCCTCCCGTCACTGTTTACGCTCAGTCTGGTATGGGTCTGAGATGGTACTCTTCCACGTGGTCTGTGACCTTGGAGGTCACGACCTCGTGCTTTAAGTGGTCGTCAGAATAACGTCCTAAATGTAACGTGAGACCGGCCCGATTCGTTGGTAGTGCCATAGCAAGGTGTTACTGCATTGAAGTTTACACTCTTTTGAATTAATGGCAAACAGTCTCAAGATCTTTCTCCCAGGTCATTGGGTGCGAATGTGGTAGTTAAATATCGCCGTAGTAACTCCTGGACGTCTGGCTCATTTTCCTGGCTGTTACCGATTACCCAGCATCCACCAGTTTGTGAAACAGCCTTCATAACCTCATTGGATCTGCATTGTCATTCAGTTCCCATTGCAATGTCCAGAAGGCTCTACCCACGTCATACGCCTAATCATACGCTGGTGAACGCTACAATAGCTTTTCGCCACGCACATGGTCGGTACACTGCAGGGTCCATATGCACTCTGATCGCTGTATCTCTCCTCGACATCATGTACCGCTGCCAGAAGCCCGTCGCTGTCCTCCCGCTCATACCACCGGAACCCCGTTGGATAACGCGGCTCTTTGCAGTCTGCCCGGCCGCCGCGATAACATAGCAGCAGCCAGATTGCTGCCAGCCGTGGCTTTGATACGCCCTCAGTTGCCGAACGTCACGCCCGAACACTAGCGCTCGTTCCGTCCGACCCGTTACGTTCCGCCCTGTCACGTTCCTCCTCGCACCGTCACGTCGTCACCTTTCGTCACGGTTCTTCGTTACGAGCTCAGTGGGGGGTTTCTGTTACAGGAATGGTTGGTTAGCTGGTCGGCTATAGAGGCACGCTCCAAGTCGGGGATGAGATGGGAACGGGAAGGGGGAGGGGGCTGTTCGTCAATGACGTCACAACCGGACACGGTTCGTCGGAAGGTCATCTCAGGCTCAAAAGAAACGATATATACCATTCGAAAGCTTACGGTGAGCTGAATCCAAAAATGTACCTATTTTTTATCAAAATCGATCGATGGCCTTTTTTGAAAATTGCGTTTTTCTAAAAACTTAATAATTTTTTATTCAACGGGCTGTCCCGGACATTCTTGAAAACATAAACATGTATTTTTGAGTTCCAGTGAAAGCTGAACGCCAAAAGAACAATATTTAGCGAAGCAATATTTCCAAACATTAATATGCGTCTCCCACAGCCGAAAATAAGGCGCAATCACACAGCTCAGTGTCACGATGGACCAAAGTCAGCCACACAGAAGCGTGAAATGACCCTTATCGACTCGCAGACCCGGCGCTCTCGGCCCGCCTGACCAGCCACGGAAAGAACGTTCGGCTCTCGTTCTACTAAACAAATGTCAAAGTTGTCAGTTTAACTGTCCACATCGCTATTAAAGCTATTCAGGATACCTGTGAAGAAAATTCATTGTTCTGTCATCTTCACATCATGCATTAATTTGCATCTGCTCATGTCTACTTTGCTCAATTGAGCTTGGTATCATGCCCATATAAGGAAAATTGGCCGCGCTGAAATGTCAGAGGCTGCACCGGCCTCAGCTCGGGTGGAGTGGGGGTAGCGACCGGCGGGGCAGGGTAACCTTTGACCGGTCGCACGGCCGAGCAGCTGTCACCAGTACAGCCTCTGACAGTGAAACCCCGCTCACTTCCCCTGCGCGGGCACTGATCGCAGCTGGATGGAACAAAACATGTATAAGAAAAATGTAAATTAAAGCATGTTGTAAATCAAGCAGAACAATGAATTTTTTTCACAGGTATCCTGAGTAACTTTAATAGCGATGTGGACAGTTAAAGTGGCAAATATTACATTTGTTTAGTAGAACGAGAGCCGAACGTTCTTTCCGTGGCCGGTCAGGCGGGCCGAGAGCGCCGGGTCTGCGAGTCGATAAGGGTCATTTCACGCTTCTGTGTGGCTGACTTTGGTCCATCGTGACACTGAGATGTGTGATTGCGCCTTATTGTCGACTGTGGGAGACGCATATTAATGTTTGGAAATATTGCTTCGCTAAATATTGTTCTTTTGGCGTTCAGCTTTCACTGGAACTCAAAAATACATGTTTATGTTTTCAAGAATGTCCGGGACAGCCCGTTGAATAAAAGATTATTAAGTTTTTACAAAAACGCAATTTTCAAAAAAGGCCATCGATCGATTTTGATAAAAAATACACTTTTGGATTCAGCTCACCGTCAGCTTTCGAATGGTATATACCGTTTCTTTTGAGCCTGAGATGACCTTCCGACGAACCGTGCGGACTGGCTGGTCTGATGACCAGGGAGACGGGTATCGAGTTTCCGATTGATATGTCTCGGGCTCCGGCCGGCACGGCGGCTCCGAATTGATCTTGGTTTGGTATCGTATCGGGGAGGCCGGTTCTGTTCCGATAAGGAACGTAAACTTTGAGCGCGGCCAGGCTGGTGCTGGGTAGCGCTGCTCATTGGTCAAGTGGCAGGGATCAGGTATCCGTAGTATCTGTCGATATCGAAAGAAAGGAAGCATAAGATGTAACCGGAAGGATGAGGTGCAAGTGTGGAGCTGTTTTACGTGTACCTAACCCATGCCACTGCTGCGCTCACTAGTTGTGAAGATTGTGCAATGGACGGCGCCGAATTCATTGATCGTTCAGCTCAGCTATCTATCTTTTACGTTCATTTTGCCTACCCCTTTTTGATAGACAATCCCCTGACACGGCGAACCACAGTGACGCAAAGGACCGATCATGCTGAATTGGTCCACGACATCGGATAAAATTTAAGACCCACCCCGGGAACATTTGAGCCTCCCCGACCCCCGTTGGCTGTTGGAGTGATGAATTGCCGACATCTGTGTCTGCACTTGCAGCCGTGAATAGCAAACGGCGTTTGATGCCTATAAGATGTGCCTATGTGTATGTCTATCTAACTACATATATGCCTACATATATAGACATTTCAACTTTTTTGATGAAAGGAAAGCTTTGTCAACAGCGGCGATTACTACGGGGCCACGCTTTGCATATTTGCTTTTTATTTACCAAGAGGACTGACGGCGATGATTGGTATAGATATTGTTGATGCCATTATCCACTCCGAGCTCCGATTTGATACCACGCACCCCCTTACCAAGTATCATCTCATCATCATTTACTCCTCAAGTTCCGCCTGCCACCCACTCCGCAGCGCCTCCCCCCCCCCCCCCCCATCATTACTCTCTGGCCCCACCCCTGCTGTGCCGCCGCCCGTCGCAGTCGGCCGTCGGTGGGGGATCGGTCACCTCTGCCATGAGCGCCCCGCCCGCGGCGCTATATGACCTCTGACAAGGTGATCGGCGCCGACGACCACACGCCGGTCGGTGGCTGCAGCGGCCCGGCACCGTGGTCAATAGAGGGAGGGGAGAGATAGGCTGTTTGAAGAGGGTTCCTGAAACGGGGTGAAATGAGGCAGATTATGAGTGTTGCTTTGATGTCATGTGAATTGAAATACAAGATCAATAATGGGATAGAAATATGAAGCTAGCGTGATGTTGCAATATTGAAAGCAAAGTCAGCTGTATGGCGCTATATTTGCAGACTGCGGCGGAGGCATATATGATATGGCTTCGCGCAATCGCCACTCAAATATATTGGCCTCTTTGGCTCTTGGTGACCGCCATATAAACATATGTCTCCCCTATATGCCTGATCTCTCTACCCACCCCGACTTTTTCTTACCCCCCACCGTTCTCTATCGCCAGGTTCGCAGAGCTGACGGCCAGCATATTCCTACACCTGGGTGTCAAGGTGTGGCTGTTCGCCAAAATCTGCCCCACGCCCTGGGTGGCATTCGGCACGCGCTACTACCAGGCGGCCGCCGGCATCATGGTCACGGCCTCACACAACCCCAAACAGGACAACGGCTACAAGGTCTACTGGGACAACGGCGCACAGGTGAGCCATCCCGAAACGGGACAACAGTCCTGAGCGGGACAACAACCCTAAACGTGACGATAACCCCAAACAGACAATGGCTACAAGGTCTACTGGGACAATGGAGCGCAGGTGAGCCAGCCCGAAGCGGGACAATAACCCCAAACGATACAAGAACCCCAAACAGAATAACAACCCTAAGCAGTTGAACAACCCCAAACGGGACAACAGCCCTAAACGGGACAACAAACCTCAAACAGTAGAACGGCTGCATGTGGACGGAAACAAGGTGAGTGCACCCCTATACGGGAGAACAGCCCCAAACGGTACAACAACACAAACAGCATAACGGCTTCAGGGTGTACGAGGAAAACGGAGCTCGGCTCGGGTGACCGTAATTTAGCTGTGCTAGCTCGCCACTCACCCAACAAGTGTTGGACATAGCTTATGAACTTCTTTATGACTTTTTTATGCTATGCTTTACTAGGTTTGCGTGTCCTTCTCCCACAGATAATCCCTCCGCACGATTCTGGCATCCAGTCGGCGATCCAGGCGCTGCTGGAGCCGCGCGCCACCTCGTGGGACACGTCCGTTATAGGTGGCGCCACTGACCCGGGCCCCGAGCTGACGCCCGCCTACATGGAGCGGCTGTCGGCGGCCATGCGGCAGCCGCAGATGAACGCCGACAGCCCGATCCGCTTCACCGTCACCTCCATGCACGGTGTGTCTCACCCGTACATGTGTGAGGCGTTCAAGGCGTGCAACTTCAAGGTGAGGGCAGTGAGGTGTGGAGGGGCAGCCGGCAGGGAAGGAGGAAGAACTGGTTGAACCGGTGGTTATTTTGATGCTGGTCCTGGTGAGGCGGGGAGAAGAGCGGTTGCTTGGTGTGACTAGATTAATGCGTTATCGTTCGGTAGAAGTCGATGAGGTCTATGATATACATAAGGCGTCTATTGTACAAACCAAATGGTGCTTCGTAACGGTGTCTAATTGTGCCCGGCGTGCCACCCTTCCACACATCTGAGGTCTGACTTCTCTAACCCCTCTGACCTCCCCTCCCCCCCCCCCCAGCCGTTCATCCCTGTCAGGGAGCAGATGGAGGCGGACCCGGAGTTCCCGACCGTGCCGTTCCCGAACCCGGAGGAGGGCAAGTCGGCGCTGAACCTGGCCATGGCCACCGCAGACGCCGGCGGCAGCACGGTGATTCTCGCCAACGACCCGGACGCCGACCGCCTGGCGGTGGCCGAGAAACAACCCAGGTTCGTGGCGTCGCCGCTAGGTGGCAGGCAGAGTAACGGGCTGACAACCTTGCATGAACAGCTTATGACAGTGACGTGGAGGTTAGGCTACCTTGAACGGGCCTACGATCATCAGAACAAGATAACCGGTCTTGAGGTCTAATCCTTGTTCAGGCTTTGGAATTCATCCTTCCCGGGTGATGCGCTTGATCGGCAGGACAGGCTGTCCCATCGGGCCACTCGCGTCCCACCGGGACACTGCCGTCTCACCGGGACACTCCCGTCCCACCAGTACGGCACCGTTCCGTGCTTCTATCCTCAGGATACTGAAATCCTTCTCCTCCACGCCGCAACCCCTCTCCGGGCTGGACAGGCAACTTTATCTCATGCGGGCTGCTCCCTTGGAGCGGCACCGCTGCTCCCGAGGGAGCGCACCCCGTAGCCGGGTGCAGTGAGTGCCTTGGGGCTGGGTGGTCTGTCCTCTGGACGGGCTCAGCCCCGGCGACTCACTAGGGTGCCTGCCCAGACCAATATCTCCCCCTATATCCTATCATCCTCCCGGCTCTGAAATGGTCTCATTGGACCGAAAGAGCCTAACCCAACAAAACAAACCAACAAACCAGTACGGTCTCTGCTGCTGCTGCACACCGTCGGTGGTCCACTCAGCCCAATCCTATTCACTACCCTATCCATTTCATATTTCTTCAATAGCCTTTGCAGACCGAACAAGCTTGCTCTCAACAAAACAAACTGCCTAAGTTCGTAGCGTATTCGCTAGATGGCAGACAGGGTAGACCTTAGACGGTGTTCAATGTACTGGTCGGTGCCCAACAGCCCTGGTTCGTTGTGAGGCCGCTAGATGGCGTGCAGGGTACCAGAAATGGGTGGAGATGTCGGAGGCTAACGAGACTCGAACTATGGTTGTGAGGATAGAGGTGCCAACCAAAATGCGGTGTTGATGCGTAAGCGGTGCTCAGCCGTGCTTGATTGCAATCTGGGAGGCCTGAGTTAATAGCAGGATAAAGCAATCATTATCGACCAGATTCTCCAAGAACGGTAGATGACCATTTTGGCTTCCGTTCCGTGGTTTCCGTCCTCAGCATAATCAATATCCTTTTCCACGCCTAAACCCCCTGTTCCGGGCTGGACGGGTAACTTTATCATGTGCGGGAAGTTCCCTAGGAGCAGGCTCGTAGCCGGGTGCGGTGAGAGTCATGGGTCTAGTGGGCCTGTCTACTGGATGGGCTCAGTCCCGGCGACTCACCAGGATGCCTTACCCTGACCAATGTCTGCCCGTAATTCCTAGCATCCTCCCGGCTCTGCCATGGTCTTAACCCGCGCATGACTGGGGTATTTTCCATAACGCGAGTGACTGAGGGGAGGCTGTCCAGAGCCCCCCTTCTATCTCTGAAACTACTTGACCGATCGTCAAAATTCAAACGGCGTCTGATAGCCCTGGAAAAACTGTCGAGCGAAGCCTATTTTCATTGACCTCGGGTCACCGATGACGTCACAGGTCAGGTCAAAGTAAAAGTTATCGACATTTTTGCTTGTTTACAATTTAGGCTCTGGCCGCCGGCTAACATGTCCGATCAGGTTCATTTTTGGTTTACGCACTCCTTGATATATGCCTTAGATACCCTGAGGGTACCGAACTTTTGCTTCGAATTTTTCAGGTCAAGGCCAGGTCATCCTAGGTCACGAAAATTGTATATCATGTATCGGTCACGTGACACATGCTTAATGGTCCATTTTACACGTAGATTTCGAAAATAATGTCGTCTGTGTCATTTGAGGTCATTTTCATCTGAATTTTCCGGAGGTCAGGTCAATTTCAGGTCAGGAAAGGTCAAATTTTAAAAATGAAATTTTTCAACAAAAAAGGTGCCCATCAGATGCAGTTTGGGCTAAGAAACACGATGGTGCCATTTATATTGCTGTAGGATGTCAAAAACGTACTAAAAATGATTTTGAAAAATATATAATTGTAAAATTTCGGCAATAATGCAAATAACTTGGCTATTTTTGAAGATAGGTATTGGGCTGAAACCTGCTAGAGCAAATTAGTGTGTGACTGTGTTTTACCGCATATATTCCGGTTTTTGCGAAAAATTAAAAACTTTATTTAAAAAATCAAATTGTAAAAACCAACTTTTTTGTAATTGTAAAAAAAAATATTTTCCAAATTTTCAAAATTTCGAAAATGCGAGACAGCAGTTTGATAGCTACGTGTAGGTATTTGTAGTCCACTGATGCAAAGAAATTGGATCTAGCTTTAAAACTAAGCTCTTGAGAGCGTTTGCCGTAATTCAATATTTTGCATCAAAATCGCTCGACATGACGTCACTCTGACGTCATTTCCGACCAAACTATGGTAGCTAAAAAGTTGAAATTATTTTAACACAAGGTGTCAAATTGATGCCTCTGAGGGCACTGCAAGTTTCGTGTTGATCCGTCAAACTGTTTAGAAGATATTGCCGAAAATGTGAGGGGGGTTCTGTGGAGCCCCCCCCCCCCAGTCTTGCGCGGGTTAATAGACCGAAAGAGCTGAATCCAACAAAACAAAACAAGCAAGACCCTTCCGGAGGCGTATTTGTGGATTTTTTTCTTCTGTCACTCTGGGTGAGCCGAGATCAAGTCCGCCAATGACCCATCTGACCACGATTCGCACGTGTAAAGCTCAACTCTCGCTTGCTTGGTTGTCGCCCCAAAAGGCGAGTGGCTAGTGTCATTTAATTGATAGTTCTATATCATGCCATTTTGCCAGTTTTTGGTGACATATTCCACTAGGAATGTATGAAATGGGTACCACCATTGCGGTAGATGGTTTATTTTTTTCGACTCTGTTAGTGATCTGGGCTCAATCTTATAAACGCCGTGGAATGGATATGGCAGCACTGGCTGAAGTTCAGCTGCAGAGAACGACTATTAAATGCAAAATGGTTTTCACGCATTTCAGTCCAGCGTAATTTGACGGTCTAAAGAATCATTTCGTTGAATCAGATAAACCTTTGTCAGCACTGGTATCACTGTGAATGTTACCAAATGCCGTAAATAGAATTGTACGGCATTTTATAAGATTGGGCCCTGCTCTGTAATCCCCCCAGTTGCAAGGGAGGATATGTGGTGGACCGCCTCCAATGCCTGAATGGTAGTGCTGTCCGCCCCTGCAGGCTCCACCTGTCGTGAGAACAAGGGTTGAGCCTCTGCGCCGTTCGCACCGCGCCCCAGGCGATACTGCCCTGCGTTTTTACGGCGCTCGCGTTACATAAGTCAGCGGGCCGGGGCTGGTGGAGCCAGGGTCCGTGAACTCTGAATTCTGTCCTTATCCTTGAATTTTCGGTCGGGCGTTAGGAGTTGTAACGAAGGCAACAGCTGCACTGGGCGTGCAGGATGTCATAGACGGCAATGGTGATGGGAACTGATCATGCGCTGATGCAGCGGGATAATTTTCCAATCGGCTATCCCACGGGAGGAAGCTAACGCGTCGGCGCACCATGAGCGCGTTAGTGCAATGTCCCTATTTTGTCATCACATGGTCCTGAAGAGGGCTCGATAGGTCGAAAGGGTCTAACCAAACAGGGCGCCCATGTCAAGCATTTTGTTTGTTTGCACTCAATGGTAATCATAGTTCATGAATTTCTGAATGTGGGGGTGGGGTTATTCCATCCTCCCATTCTCCCATTGTACATTGACCTTTGAGGAGCTCACGACCTGACAGATTGAGAAAGATGAATTGGTAATAAAATGGCAAGATTTAGGATCGTTATTATCATTTATTATCATTTAATATAAACTAGACTTATTATCAAGTTTATCGTTAAAGATAAAGCTTTGGATACTTACAGTATCTTGATCACTGTCGATGGCATCATGTCGTCGATCAGTGATCAATGTCGATCAAGTCAAACACCAATCAAGATACGGTATGTATCGAAAGCTTTGTCTTTCAAAGAAAATTAAGTTATTATCGTCATTTTATATCCGCCATGGATCCGTTACCATGAATTGGTTATAGTTGCCCTTTGTTCGAGACCGCTCATTTTCACACTTATTGCCTGTCAGTTTTCAGCATAATCTACTTACGGCAGTGAATGCTATTGCTTATAGACGCATCTCTAATACGCCAAAGGTTCGTGGTTCGCAATGACAGTTTTCTAGAAATATCCAACATTCTACAATTTAGAAAATAGTATCCTCCGCAATGGATGTTTCACATTTTTCACGTAGGTCTTCTGAGGTCAAATTGCTTAAGTAGTATTACTAAGCCTCTAGTGCAATACGTGTCTGCCCCAATGGGTTTGTCGACACCCTTACCCTTCCTACCGTTAGTGAGAGCCCTGCCGGGGCCGTGCCGCTCGCTATTTGTGTATGACGGGGGTGGCCTGCCGTCAGTGGCAGCCAGTGGCGTTATATAAGTCGGAGCGTCCGCCGAAATGTGTCACCGGTTCATGGACCAATTTTGACGCTCACTCGGAGTACTCGATCGGGCAGTAGAGGTCAAAACTGGAGATGTCAATCGGGCACCAGCTAGGTATTGTTTTGTCAATACTTAGCTAATGCCAAACCGGTATTTTGTCTTTTTCAGTTTTGATGTTTTGGGCGCAAAATGACCACCGCAGTCGACGCGCCCGTAAACCCTAATGAACGAACGATCAATTTTGATGTATTGTTATTTTGCTGGTTTCATGAATTCCCATGCTTTTGGCTGGCACCTATTTGGCTTGGTTACCGTTTCCCAATGATCTAAAATTCGCATCACTAAGGTCACAGCTTCCCCCGCACACTGTCGACCTTAGTATGGCACCAAAAGGTCACCAAGTGACAAAACTGTTGCCTATTTTAGCGTTTTGGGGCCCCGCTGTTGCATAACTCTCTGCCACGTGTCTCATGTGGCTCTCATCGCCCAGGCAGTGACCTCTTTTGTAATTTGTTTTATTAATTCGTCCCGCTATGGACTTAATTTCTCGCGTATACAATTGAACTCTTAAACGCCGCATGCCGTCTGACATACGAGCTGAAGTATTTAACGACAGCGGCTGTTCACTGATTTGAATGCAATGCAAATGAGTCTCCGTAACAATATTCAGCTGTTTGCGCATTCAGCTGTTTGTCAATTCATTTGTTTGTATCCCACGCACTTGGTGTGGCGCGCGGTAATCGGGTATAGAGTTTATCCCGGAACAAAGTCCTATGGGTGATGGGGAGCGGTGAGTGGCCGGGTGGATGACCGCTGGTGTCCTGAATAATATATAACTTAATGGTATATGTATATTTAAACAGCGTCGTACTCGTGACCTGAGCACGGGATGAATACAGCAAACAAAAAGGGACGAAAAATAAAGTGCATAGATGGGCGATGCGTACTAAGCACGGCTACTATTTTCAGGCAGTGAAACGTTTGAATGGAGGAAGAATGGATTTAAACTGGTAAGAGTTACCAAGTATTTGGCTGCAAACAAACGACAAACAAACGGCTGCATTAATTAACTCTAAGAGATCTTCATCAGAGAAAAAAACGGCCGTCGATATATGCATAACATGATGGTTAATTTTCAGCAGTATAGGCACAATGAGGCGCAGCTAAGTTGCCAAATTCGGTTCATCGCAACGTTTGATGTTAGCCTTTCCTCATCAATGTCTCTGTGCCCACCATACGGACCATAAGATACTGAAAAGTGAAATTTAGCTGGCATTGCCCTACCATTGTGTTTGCACATGGTTGTGCTCAGATATTTAATTGCCATTTACGATAAGGGCTTGGTACCGCTGTTGTGAATAAATTATCATTGTGCAGTAATTGATAGCTCCGACCAGCCGTGTACCCATGGACGCCTCCTCTGGGAGCCACGTGTGCCGCGGTGTCTGAAGATAGTTATCCCGGCGGGTGCACAGAGTTTGACCCTCCTCTGACCGACCCCGGTCCAAGCTCTAGGTCCCGGAGATGACGGAAATGGTGAGCAGAGAGGCGACCCACGGCGCCGGGTCGTTGCTCTGTGTATGGACGTGGGGAGGTGGATGGGCCAGGGAGGAAATCTTATCTGCGATCCGTGCACTCCTGACGAAATGATGGACGAAGGGGAGGATGCACGGATCGGCTTCAGTCCGATCTATGACCCCGGAGAGCAAGAGATGGTGGGCGTAGCTCGGGCCGGGTCGGTATGACACCGACAAAGCTGCTGGATGTGATAGCTCTCGGAGGTGCGGCTGACTGGTATATGGCTACTGTGGCTAAATTAAATCATTTCCGATCAGTATACGAGCTGCTGGCTAAGCACAATAGCACGTCGATGTCCTATGCCGATAATATGCGTGTCAGACCGATATCCCAACGTCGAAATTATTCAGTGTGGGAACGGTGGGCGCCTTTTGCGGGATTTGCGGGCGCCTTTTACAATACCTGACGCCTACGTTTCCTCAATTTCGGCCTGTTTTATAATTATTAAGTTTTTTTTTTGTACAGCCCACCGTGTGAACTTCTGACGCATCTACACTGTTGCACTGTTGCTATTATTACTTTAACTTGCCAACAGCCGTTTGTGGCAGGACATGGGATTTTAGTCATTACCGTTCCTTGGTAATACCTTCAGGCGCGATATGGTGGGCTGGTCTTCAATTGTCTTTGCAACTTAATAACCAGGAGTTCCCATGGATACCTACTTCTGGAATCGGTATGCTAAATTAGTACGCCAATCAATTACCGCGTGTACGCGCCATGAAATCACCGGTGCAAATTGAACGGGCCATTCGCGGGCTATAAAATCAACAAATTTAAACAAAGCGTAGAGTTTACAAACGCATCTACCACATGTTAACTATGAAAGGCTCTGACCATGATGTGATTTTGCCGCAATAGCTTACCAAGGTTGAGGATATTCATTCCTCCGTTCCGTCGTTTCCATCCTCAGGATACTGAAATCCTTCTCCTCCACGCCGCAACCCCCACTCCGGGCTGGACAGGCACCTTATCTCTATCTCATGCGGGCTGCTCCCATGGAGCGGCACCGCTGCTCCCGAGGGAGCGCACCCCGTAGCCGGGTGCAGAGAGTGCTTGGGGGGCTGGTCGGCCTGTCCATTCGGACGGGCTCAGCCCCGGCAACTCTCTAGGGTGTCTGTCCAGACCAATGTCTCCCCCTAATTCCTATCATCCTTCGGGCTCTGAAATGGTCTTGTTAGACCGAAAGGGCCTAAGCCAACAAAACAAAAACAAACAAACGATATTCATTAACTTGTTTGAATGTGTCTTGAGTTCGGCTTCGCCACCTTTTATCACATAATCCGCGACTAAAACTGAACATGCATACCTATCCTCATTGAATGAACCGACAAATGATTGTCTTTTCTTCCACTGGGTTGCGTTATACAAGGTGCGGTGTGCTAACCCTACCAGTGATCACGAGGGACTATGAGTGGTCATTCCCTTTTTCTTGTCATATTCTAGATTGCTATCCAGAAAAGCCAAAGAACAAATTTATCCGGCACAATGCATTCAACTAGTTAGTATCGCTGGGACGCCGATAGCCGCGAAGTACCATTACATAATGGATAGGCCAGGGCCCGAATTCACAGCAGCTACTCTGTGTTTACTCGAGCATCCGATTCAAACATAAGCAAAGCCTCGTCAGGACGCCAACTCTGGCACCTTTGGCCTGTCGACCAATCGCCATTGTGTAACTGCGTTGGTAATGTCCATGGCTGAACGTGGCGTGCAATCCTTTTTGCTTTTATTTTACATTTATTCAATACATTTTGCTTTGAAGCTACGGTAGTAGTTACACGTTGATAACCGAGCATGCAATCCTGGCACGTAAGGTACTGGTTATATAAGCTGAAAATCATTAGCGTACTGAGTATCTGATCCTAAATGATCCTGTATGATCCTAAAACTGCAGTTCGTTCTCTCCCTCTCCCCTTCGCTGACATGCAGACTTATCGAAGCTCCTGCTCAGTGCTCATGACTCTAGTCTATACTACCAATAGCAATATTAGTCACTATGGCTCTATAGTATAGCGTATAACAGCGCCGAGGTATCGGCCCCCGCCTTCAATCCATTGATGGTGTGAACGCACCTTTAGGGTTGCTAGATTGAACGCGTCGCCATGCATATCGAATTGCCCGTGCTGTTAATTTGTTGCCGTCATGCTTTGTTGTCTCCAATGAAGCAAGGTGTTGCTAATTCGAACCGGGGACTTACCGGGATGCTGGCGGAGAACTGAGTGTATGCTACCACACCTGTGCAAATACTCTTAAAACTGATAAATTAGTACATGTGCTAGAAGAACTGCCAATTTTGTTACCAAATGAGCGGAATGGAACTTTAATTCAGCTGTAAGAACAAAGTCAGTGTTCATTACCTTCATGTGATCACCAAGCACGGAAGCAATATGCAAATTTTGGCTCTGCGCACGGTGCCGTGTCACAGATACCTACAGCGCTCGAGTACAACGACTTGATTCAGTTTTTCGGCATGAGCACGCTGGCAGCAAGGCGCGATCAGCACAATGCGATGTTCATTCGTAACGTTCACCGCCACGCCATCGACTCCCCGTTTCCTCTGGCTCAATTCCCTTTGGCTGCTCCCACTCGGCTGCTTCGCGACTGGAGCACTTTTCACGTGTCTTACGCTAGGGTGAACACCGTCAAAAACAGCCTGTTCAATCGCATACCAATGCTCAGCAATATGTTTCTGGACGCAAACCGTGACGTCGATGTGTGGCAACATAGCCAGCTACAGTATAAGAAACGAGTAGCAGCGTATGTCCGCTCGAGGCAGCCCTGTGAACGTTAGATAGAACGGGGAGATGTGAACTGTAGCATTTCCTCATATTTTTAATGCACGTAGGTGTATGCTTGATATTTTCCATCCTTGTATGTGCGTGTATGTGTGCGTGTTTGTAATATGTAGGTATATTGGACTACGTCCATCAATGAGTGCCCATGCCCGTGGATGTTTGGAAAAATAAATAAAATAAATAAATAAATTTCATGTGCAATGATAGATAATTGCCGTCGCTTTCAGTTTCGCCCCACTCACCTCCCCTCCCCCTCCCCTCTCTCCTTAGCGGCGAGTGGCGTGTGTTTAACGGTAACGAGACGGGCGCCCTGCTCGGCTGGTGGTGCTGGTCCTCGTACCCCTCACCAGACGACAAAGACACCTGTTACATGCTCGCCAGCACGGTCTCGTCCAAGATTCTGCGCTCCATCGCCGAGAAGGAGGGCTTCCACTTTGAGGTGAGGGGCCGACCGAGGAGACCGACAGCCGGGGAGCGGAGAAGGTAGGATGGAACGGGGAGGGGCAAAGACCTCCGAATATCAAATACGACAATATTATTCAAATACTCTAGAAATTTGAATTATATTTGAATAATTTATTATATATTTGAATAATATTCAATGTATTTGTGTAGTGTGTATTTGAATAATATTGTCGTTTTTTATATATAAATGTGTCTTGGATAACATACAAAACATGCCTCTGCCTTACCTGCTACTGAGATACTGCATAGGTCTATGGGAGGAGAGGAATGGATATGGGGATGGTCGCAGTTGAATGACCCGCGTTTGTCTGAGTTATGGTCCGGAGATTAGCACGGAGTCTGCAGCAGCTCCGTCTAACATTTTGGCTGCATTGAAGATGTCAGATCTACTCTTCTGATAGGCTTGTTGTTGTTTTGGCTTTGTGCCGGGGTAGGTCAGCTAGTGGGATAACTGTTGGCGGTCTCGTGCTTAAAGGGAGATAATGAGCTTTCTTTTTTCTTAAATAAAAATTACTCGACATCTATACTATTTCTACTGTAGTTTCTATAAAATATGAAAATTTCCTAGCACATTTTCGTATGTGAAAAAGGTTTTTATTTTTGCAAAAAAGAAGCAGTACTTGCAGTACTTGTAACACCCACCGAAATGCGTTGTCCTTCTCTATAAAAAAAGTCGCAGTATATGGCGCTTTTGTTTCAAACAGCGACGCTTGGGTTTTTGTTTATGTTATCGCCTTGTCGTTGCTTGGTTGTAAGGATTCTAATTTGAATTAGAGTTAATTCGGTTTAGAATTAATTAGATTCTAATTCGGGGGTACATAGTGCCTACTCTTCTTTGTTTCGGCATGCGGCATGCGGCACAAATGAACGGCATGCGCCAGAAACGCAGCCAAATCTTGCGATTGCGACTACGAAATTCATTATTTTGGCGTCAGAGCCTGAAGCGAAAAATACAAGCATATTTATTTCCAAAAGACTTCAGGTTTGTCGAACGGTGTTATGAGAATTTTGATAACAGTACTGCATAAGTTTTTCAGTGATGCCGCAAAAGTGTTGTATCTATCTTCTTTTATTGTGCAGTCGGCGGGACCGATTCAAAATTGAGTCGTTGCTACTAAAATAGCAGCGTATGGCGTCAGATGATGAACAGGAAAAATAGTTGCGTAAATTTAGACATAAACCACCCCCAAACCATGAATATCTTTTGAAGGCACTATAGACGACCATCAACTAACTAGATGTGATGAAGATCAAATGTAAGGAATACGCTCATTTTACAAAATTACATGCAAGTACCAAAAAGTGATGTAAGTACTTATTCAACGGTCATTTTCAGCGCTCCCCGCTAACGTGACTTCAAGTTGAGATATTTGCGGCAAGGTACCGAATTGAGCAAAATGGTTTTAATTTACATTATAACTTGTTGTGTTTTGTCAGAAAATGGTCCTAACTCAGATTTTGTAGAAAAAGGTCATTATCTCCCTTTAAAGCAACGTGACTAGGATGGGAGTGTGGCTCCATAACGATGACCTGAGTAATGCGAATTTATCACGCTCCGGTTGATGTTGTTGACTGTGCCTTATTAATGTCAGCACTTTTGTTAAATGCGATAAATACGAGTGATGACATGGGTGGGTGAAAATTCGTGTAATGTTTGAAAGTAATAACAGTGGTGGTCGTTGTTTTGCATTACTGGATATTTTTTTCATGAAAGACCATCAGTATAAAGTGAGAAATAAGCTTAGTCATTCTCATTCACCTGCCGTGCGAACCGGCCATGGACATTAAACAACACAGCACACTTCTTACGAAGCACGATGGGATGCAGCGACCGGTATGACAAGACTGTGGTGGGACGTTCAACGCAAGAACTTGGGGATGGATGTTTGGGACATTAGCCTGCACCCGAATGACAAGTGCGATGCATATGCTTTGTCCGGGGTTTAGTACTTTGTACGCCTTGTCGGCAGGACTTTATAGGCGGAGTAGCTGATAGGCTGACGCTGTTCAACAAATGGCTACAACCGCTTGGAATACGTCTGGGCTTGTTTACAGTGGGCATTAGCAAGTGTTGTCCGGTCACATGATCAAAGCAGGCATCGACAACCGGTAACTTTGTTTGTCAAACAGCTCCGCCGCCTCGGAGCTGCAAGTGTGAATCAATGGAGGAAGACTGCTCATGAAAAGTTAATTTGTCTGCTATCCTTAAGCTGTTCTGGTTGCTGCACTCCGTTCTTGGTCGGATATGGGCATGTTATCTAAATTTCGTATTGCGTTGTCGGAGATAGAAAGCGCAATAGAAGTTCGGGGCATACAAACATACGCTGAATTATAACACCGCCATTGCCGACATGGCTCAAGGAACTTACCGTCGTTTGATGCTCTTTGGCGTTATGTGGAGCTTTTATGTCCCGTCACGCCTAGTTTTTATGTCCCGTCACGCCTAGTTTTTATGTCCCGTCACGCCTGTCCGATGTTGTGAATAACGTGTGGGATTAGTGCATTTTAGTACTGTGGAGCGTTGAGGTGTCTCGTACTTACACGCGCCGTCCGTCATACTCTACAGTAGGTACCAGAGCAGTATGTCTGCCCTGCTGCGGTTACGTCTGCTCATTATTTCAGCCAACGCCGACAGTAATTACCCCATTAACTTCCTCCACTCGCGCCCGTGTGCTCGCCCACAGGAAACCCTGACCGGCTTCAAGTGGATGGGTAACCGGGCCGAGCAGCTGATGCTGCAGGGGAAGAAGGTGCTGTTCGCCTTCGAGGAGGCCATCGGCTTCATGTGCGGCACCACGGTGCTGGACAAGGACGGCGTTAGCGCCGCGCTGGAGGTCGCCCAGATGGCCACCACACTGGCCAACAAGGGACTGTCTCTGACGCAGCAGCTCGACCTTATCTACGATAGGTGAGGATGGTCAGTTTGGAGGTCCGCAGGTGCGCAGATTCCCGTGCTGGCCTTTCACAATGTGAGACTGTCGCTGAGCACGCCAGGGAGGCCTGTACAATTACATTTATTTATTTATTTATTTATTTTACATCATCCGGTCAACCCGCAATAATGGGGCTATTCAAAGACCGTTGTCATACAAGATAGATATAAGGCACTCACATCACACTTTGTTAATCATATCACGGACACGAGTCTTTAATGCGGAAAACGAAGTGACGTCAATGCCGCTGCTAAGAACAAATTGATTGTACAAATTTACATTCGTTTCCGTCGGCCGTAGATTTGTCACACGGGTGTCTGTCACGGACAGATGTCACACATGGACTTCCGTCTGTCATGGATGGATCCGTCACATGTGGCTCCTTTCGTCACAAGCTAACGGTCAGAAGTTCCGTTATTCAAATTTCCGTTCCTTTAACACAGAGCGGAAGTGACAACGGTACCGCCCTCTGCGGTCATGTAACGTCTTATTCATTCTGTGTTAATTTTTTAATTTATTTATTGCTAAAAATACCAGCTGATGTAAAAATGGTGACGACTAAAGGGCCAGCTTTACAAACCAATGTGACACGTACAAATGTCACCTAATGTTGAACAATGGAAATCGTGCACCGCACCAGGTGGACGGGAAAGCGACGAGGATGCTGATGACAAATTATAACCAGTATAACGCCTTTTGGGGCGACTAACGGAGCGAGCGAGAGGGTGGGCCTTGCACGTGCGAAATTTCGAGGGGGTACCTCCAACTGACTTGTGCACGGCACCTTACTAACCGGTCTCTAGCGATGTGCCAAATTTGAGCACAATCGGCCCAGCCGTTCTCGAGATCTGGAAGCGGCACCATGCACGTGCGCACGTGCAAAATGGGCCCCAACTGACTTGTGCACGGCACCCTACTAACTGGTCCCTAACCGTGTACCAAATTTGAGCGCCATCGGTCCAGCCGTTCTCGAGATCTGGAAACGACCCCTGCACGTGCGCACGTGCAGCAGCACCCCAACTCTGGCACATGGATGGTGTCCGGACAAATTGCCGAAAGGCGATTTACCGAATGCCATTTTGCCGAATGCATTTCGCCGAATGTCATTTTGCCGATGTGCTTTTTGCCGACGTGTCAAAAAGTCGAAATGCTAAAAGTCGAAATGCCATTTGCCGACATGCCTTTTTGCCGAAATGCCAATTTGCCGAAATGCTTATTAGTCGAAATGTAAATTTGCCGAAATGCGATTTGCCGAAATGTCGATTAGTCGAAACGTCAATTAGTCGAAATGTAAATTTGCCGAAATGTAAATTTGCTGAAATGTCAATTTAGCGAAATGTCAATTACCCGAAATGTCAATTTGCCGAAATGTAAATTTGCCGAAATGTCAATCTGCCGAATTGCCGAAATGTCAATTAGTTGAAATATAACTTTGCCGAAATGTCAATCTGCAAACCTAGGTTAGGTTAGGTTAGGTTAGGTGGTGTTTATTTACTTAGGACCGATCACCAATTTACTTTTGGTGCAATCCCCAAGTGAGAAGCAAACCACATGATATCCTTTGACCTGATTTCATAACTAATAATTATTCATGGCACAAGCAAGTTTAAAAGCACCAATACCATTTGGAAATAAACATCAAATTGCTCGTGGCGAAGCAGTGCAGTGCCGAAGACAATGCCTTAGGAGAGATTACCGGCAAAGGTAAGTCAAATATTTTTAGGTTAACCCTCGCCGGCCTAGGGGGAGGGGGTGCGGGTGCCGCACCCCCATAGGGTTTTATCGCAATAGCTCCGAACACGCTGGCGATAGAGAGCTGAAACTTAGCATAGCTGACCTTTGATTCAAGCCGGATCTTTTAAAATCAACCGCATTTTCGGGTCAGGTCAGTTCACCGACCTATGACGTCATAAGTGAACCTCTGCATGGTCTTCAGATGTCGCAACTTCGCAACGCCCTCACGGCCAGAGGAGCTTTCACAGGGAAATGAAACTTGCAGGACCTGATATCCATTACGAGTCTCACAGCTTGTATATCTCAGATTTTCCTAAAGGTTATTTGAGGTCAGGTCATTTTCGTGACCTCACCATTATAAGTCAAGAAGAAAAATAAAAACTGCTATTCTGGCGCCGGGAACGACCTCTAACTATCTCAAGCACACAGAATCGTGATTTGACGCACTCCTTGCAAGGTTAGATGCGTAACTTTTGCAATGTTAACCTTGCGTGATGTCATTTATGACGTCATCAAGGTCATATTAGTTTTTCGTCAATAACTCCCGATCAAATTGAGCTAGCGAGTCGGGAAAGCCACCACTGGACTCAGGAAGACCTACCGAATCGAATGATATGCGACATGACCTCTTTCCACCAACTTCATGACCTGGGGGTGCTGACCTGACCGTGACCTGAGGTCAACACCCTAAGTTGACCTGACCCAAACAAAAATTATATCATTTGACGCGCCTAAGCAAGGCAAACACGATGCTGCCAAAATCGCGGCCCTGCGGCCCTTTGTGGCGAAGTTATTCGCCAAAAACTGAACCGTACCTTGGGGCACTTGACCTGACCTCAGAGGTCACCGGTTGACGTAGGACCTTAAAATCGGGTATCAATCTCTGCGTCTCGTAACGGCGCACACGCTCGTTTTTTCCGCGACGCGCCAGCTCCACCAGGGGCGAAACGACTAATAAGCATTTCGGCAAATTGGCATTTCGGCAAAAAGGCATGTCGGCAAATGGCATTTCGACTTTTTGGCATGTCGGCAAAAAGCACATCGACAAAATGACATTCGGCGAAATGCATTCGGCAAAATGACATTCAGCAAATCGAATTTCAGCAATTACCACATCGGCCGGCGCGTATGTAGAAAACCAATAGGTCCGGTGAGGGTTAAATTGTTGTGTATTATGCACAACCACTTAACCTAAAAATAATTGACTTATCATTAACTGCAATCTATTCATGTGAGTATCTTCTTCCCTATCCACTGGTAGGCAAAAATCAGTAGGTCAGGTTAGGTAAGGTTTGGTTATGTTTTTCTTATACTTTGCTGACATGTAAGTGGGTTTCTTTACCTTTGAAAAGCGAGTCGGTCCTAAAGTTAATACTTACGGGTCAGGTTAGGTTAGGTTAGGTTAGGTTAATTTCGGCTAATTGGCATTTCGGCAAATTGACATTTCGACTAATTGATTTTTCGGTAAATTGACATTTCGACTAATTGACACTTCGGCATATTTACATTTCAAGTAATTAGCATTTCGGTAAATAAGCATTTCGGCGAATTGACATTTCGACTAATTGACTTTTCGGCAAATTGACATTTCGGCAAATTGACATTTCGGCAAATTTACATTTCGACTAATTAGCATTTCGGCAAATTAACATTTCGGCGAATTGACATTTCGACTAATTGACTTTTCGGCAAATTGACATTTCGGCAAATTGACATTTTCGACTTATTGCACGTCGGCAAAAAGGCATGTCGGCAAATTGCATTTCGACTTTTAGCACTTCGCCCTTTTGACACGTCGGCAAAAAGACACGTCGGCAAAATGCATTCGACATATTGACATTCGGCGAATAAGCATTCGGCAAAATGCAGTTCGGCAAATTGTCCTGTAACCCACATGGATATGCAGTGCCTAGTGGGTGCCTACCACTGAACTCTATAATGTGGAATGCGCATCGGCCGCCAGATGGTGTCCAACGGTGCCGCCATGTTGCGCAGACCAGGAAGCGGCCGCCGCCTGTGTTGGGGAATAGGGAATTCGGGACCTCGATTTATGTTTGCGGTCGCTGCATCCGTTACGTTCAAGCTATGTGGACACGGAACCCGGCATCTTACGCAGAATTGAGTGGAGAACAAGATGGAATCCTAAAAAATCCTCAGATACAAGGAACTAATACGTTAAACCCTTATAAGTCAATGGGGAAATATGAAATTGCTATTTTGGCGCCGAGAATGATCTGAAACTATCTCAAGCATATAGAATCATAATTTCATGCACTCCTTGCAAGGTTCTATGCTTCATATTTGCATTGTGGCCCTTGCGTGACGTCATTTGTGACGTCACAAGGGTCACAATTTTTCTTCAATAACTCCCGATCAAATTGAGCTAGCGAGTCGGGAAAGCCACCAATGGACTCAGGAAGACCTGCCGAATCGAATGATATGCGACATGACCTCTTTCGACCAACTTTGTGACCTGGGGGTGCTGACCTGACCTTGACCTGAGGTCAACACTCTAAGTTGACCTGACCCGAACAAAAATTATATCACTCGATGCGCCTGAGCTAGCTGAACACGATGATGCCAAAATCGCGGCTCTACGGCCATTTTTGGCGAAGTTATTTGCCAAAAACCGAACCCGTGCCTTAGATCACTTGACCTGACCTCAGAGGTCACCGGTTGACCTGAGACCTTTACAGCGGGCTCCTACCAGTCATTCTGCATTATACTTTGCCGCATACGACTACTTTACCGCTTAATTCTAGTTTAATTAGCGGCGCATTAGCGAGGTGGGTTCAATCAACCCCCTCGGCCGGGGCAAATGTAGGACCGGCGAGTGAATTTGAGGAATTCTGAAGATACGATCGTGTTCCCCACTCAATTTTGTATAAGATGCCGGGTTCCGTATCTACGTAACTTAAACGTAACGGATGCGGCGGCCGCAAACGTAAATCGAGGTCCCGAATTCCCTATTCCTCAACACAGGCGGCAGCCGGTTCCTGGTCTGCGCAACATGGCCGCCACCGTTAGACACTACGGCCAATAGGGTTGAAGCGGCAGTGCTCCCCTGTGGTGCCTACCTACAGGGTGTTGCAGATAAATCCGACACTTGAGAGGCAAAATACGAAATCGGCAATGAAAGCATGAATATTGCACACACAGGCCTGGCATTTTATTCAGCACCAGTTCGAGTCATATGCTGCACCTCTACTCGATGTAACCGCCGTCGGCGGCGACGACCATC